TAGAGTTTACATGACAGTTCTACATTTTTTACATTAAAGGTTTACAAGACAATAATTTTATACAATTACATATATATGACCAAAAAAAAAAAAAAATTTACAATACAGTATTCTTCGTTTGCACGTTACGTCATCACGGCCATGTTGGTACCATTTAACAACAGATTTCTCATTAGCATCAATTGTGAATGGTACCACAATGGTCGCCATGTTTTTGTCTTTTTTACTCTCTTGGAAATGCTTGCAACCCATCAATCAGAAAGATTATTAAAACTATCATTGTTGTCACTTTTGTTGATTATTGCCGTATTTACAAAGATTCAGTCAGCTATAGTAATAAATCGTAAGTATTTCGCGGGGGACGGGGGGTGGGGGTTTCAATTGACTAGTGCATTAGACATAGTCTTAATAGACTCATCATAGCTCTCTGCAGTTGGAGCATTATACGCAGTGCTCTTTTCTGTACTGTAATAGCATTTACAGTAAATGTATGGGACAAAATAATATGGAACATAATTTTTTCAGTTGCCTTCTAGTCGCTACCGTGAAGCTTCGCGCGCTGTGTCCAGCGTTGGTTGCCAAGCAGGTTGTCAAGCAAACTCAACAAAATGGCGGAGTCAAAAAGATTGTTTTCTTCGGATTTAGGGGAAGGCTTGAAAGATCTTAGTGTTAGTCCCCAAAACATTTCGAACTCAAGAAAAGGCCACTCAGGTGCCTCAGGAATTAATGTGAGGGGGAAGGTTTTGAAGAATGTTGATAAAAAAACAAAACCAAAACTCTCTTCAAGTAAACCAGTGAGTGTTCGCCCATGTAGCAACCAGAAAACGACTGAAGACAAACAAGCTGTAAAGTCGAAAGACCGGCAGTCGCGTATCGAAAGTAGCTTTACACCGAAAGGTTACACATCTCGTCCGATTGTACCAGCTACTAAAGCTGAACTCCTTCCAGTCGCCCATGCTATGCACGGAGAGGATTTTGCACCACGGGTGAAAGAACTGTTTGATCCTGAAAGTAAGGCAGCTTTAGAAGCCATTGAGACTGGAATTTATATCGGTTGGAGGTGCCCAGACTTCAAACACGATTGTATACGCGTTGGCAGATTTTCTAAATGTTTTTGTGGCCACTTACTCAGCGAGCACAGAAAATACGATGGACATAGTTTTCGTGTTCCTTGCGCTTTGGGTCAGTGTGAATGTAAGGCTTTTGCTTTTGTGCCATCCAGGGCAGAAGAAGTAGGCGAATTTTGGCTTCAGCGTCGCGTTAACTTTGACCCGAGCACTTGGCGAGCAAAGTGTAAATGTAAACACACCCACGAAGAACATGCACCTAATGGGATGAAGAGGTGTCGCGTCAAAGGATGTCGATGTTCAACGTTTTTCTCAAACTTTCTTTGTTGCGCGTGTGATAAACATTGGGAAGAACACGAAACTGTATTTGAAACAGCTGAAATGAGAAAGAGTCAAGGAATACCATATGGCGAATCTTACCTCCCATTTCACGAGTTACCAGAACTGCGAAATGTAGTACTGACTGGTAAGAAAGATGATAACAGTCTGTTTGAGGAACTTGCCTCGGGTCCATTTGCTATCCCAAAAGATGTACCCTCACCACTTGCCCTAAGACTGTCTGGCGAAAACCAGCGTAGTCATGAAAAACATGGCAGATCACAACGCTTTTAAATATCGAATTGATGATAAGCTAATCAATTTATCAAAATCATTTTATTTTTAGGGAGTGATTGCTTAGTGTCTTAGAGCGAGAGGCTCGAGTTCAAGGTTTGGGAATTGAACCTGGGCATTATTGGTGAGGTGCTAGTACCCTTGCCCTTACTTTACATCTGCTTCTGCCTTTCCTTTCAACATTAACAACACATTGTTGCCCACTAAGGGCCATTGCCAGGAAAACATTGAAACTTGTTCGTATTTACATGATACCCTCTTGCCCAATCAGAGTATGGAAAAAATGGACTTTGACAGTGGGTATATAACAATCACTTTTATCAATGCTGTAATTAGGGACTCTTCATAAAGGATTTCCATACGAATTTACTGACTTTAAAGAGAAAATTTAGGTAGATTTCTTTAGTTAGCTATCTTAGCAGTAAGAAAAGCTTCAATCAAGCTAGAAAAATGATTATTCACTTGTATTTAGAGAACTAACTAAACATTAACCAAGTAAATAGTTCATTTAGAGTCAGTACATTTGTGCAGAAATTTGAGAACAATGTCCGAACTTTTTGGTGACCGTAACACAATCTAAAACAATTTATACCCCAATTTATTGCTAAAGCCACACCCCTGCAAAATGAGGATGTGTGCAGGGCTGTAGCTAACTTTTTTATAGTAGGGAATTGTCACTAAATAGGCAAGTAATGGGCCAATCATTCCATGACGAGCTACACGGCTTAGTTACCGGCGTGAAGCAGCACTTTCAAAGTGCTGGTCTCAGATTTCATTTCTATTCATTGCATAGAGAATACTTGCGTAATGCATGTCATCGTACGGATTAACACAGCATGAGCACATAGCATGCCACTATCAATGGACGGCACATTACATCACTGAAACAATATTTACGTCGTCATAAGATATCATGTGACTCTACTGTGGCGCTTTATTTGAAAGGGTCACTGAGAAGGTTTCGATGAACCATTGGGCCAGATCAAAGGATTTCAGGTTTTTCTTACACATCACTGCCTATCTAACCCTTTTGCTGTTATTTTATGTATGTGATGTGCATTTATTGTCTTTGTATTAGATCTGTAGGCAGCATTTATGCTTAGGTACTTGTATACATATATAATTTGCATGCTTACTTAGGTCACTGTCCGTGTTATGTATTAGATCTCTAGGCAGCATTTATGCTTAGGTACTTGTATACCTGTATAATTTG